GTTTGACATTTTGTAATGTGATTTGACAATTCAATAACGTTTTTGAGCTTTCACTGACAATACTTATTAAAGATAATTTTAAGCGTGAAAACTGTCCATATTTTGATGTCATGATATGGTAAATTAAAAATTGTTATTTTACGGTGATAATCTTGTCTTCTTGTGCCCAATAATGCATAATTTCATTTGATAAACACGTTTAGATTGAATGGTAATTTATAATCAGTCACAAGAACGTCGAATCTGAATCACTTGAAAAAAACACGGGGGTGCTTAACTTTTTACCAGGTGTATATCATGCTTTGTCAAAATAAGGCTGTGTATACCATAATAATTGATATATACAAATGACTAATATAAGTATTGCTTTGACTTAAAATTGACTGAGGCTTTTTGATATTGAGTGAAAGGCCTTGTTGGCAGTAGCATGAGGGGCACAATGTGCACTGGTATAAATGCTGGTATGATTTTTCTTACTGGACATCTGTAGTACAGGTCCAGTAAAGAAACATTGGACAAAAATTATTATCAGTAAAAAAATAAACTCAATAACATAAGTGCTTTGAAGGAAGGTGAACTATGTATTTTGTGAAGGAAAGTACATTTTCTGAAAGCACTTGGATTATTATTATTATTTCTGATGCAAACATTTTTTGTTGATACTACATGTTTTTGAATATTATGAGTGTAGAAAATTATTATTATTAATGTTACTGTGATGTAATATCAAACAAACTGCCAATCAGTAGATTATGTTTGCCAGCATAAGTCATCATATACCATACAATGAGTAAAATATGATCATATAATTGAGCTTTTACAGATTACATAAAATGAACTGAGTGAGTGTGATAGGTCCTCCTCCCCTCATTGGGCCAGCATAAATGTTTCTAAGATATTATTTAATTTTTATTTTTCTCTCCCAGGAGCTGTACAGACATCATATGCCTGTTTTTGTTTCTTATCTTTTTGGGTGGCTGGATTGTATTAGCAGTAATTGGTATGTACTAGATTCTTCAAATTTTATTGTAGTTACACTATCTTTCCTTTTAAAAGTATTCATGATTAGTTCAGTTTTGATTTACTGTTAAGAAACTATCACTAAGTAAGACACAAAATACAGTCAAAAGGCCAATAATATTTATTTTCATATTTTAAGGTAGTTTTTTATATCAGTGTATACTATGTATAGCTTTACAAGTATATTTATTTCCCAATCAAAATAGTCACGTTCAAATAATGAAAATAATTGGTATATGTAAAAATCATTTTATGTTTACCAAATCTGCATCAAGCAAATGTTCAACTTTTTTATACAATATATTAATAACCCTGAAAACAAAAATAACTATGGTATTAAATACATTGTCTTTTTTGAAAACTAACTGATATGAACTACATAACTTCAAACATATTGTCATATATAAGTGACGCTGAAATTATATAAACATGATTAATTTAAGATCATGAAATAATGTAAGAAATAGTACAGGTTTGTTCAGGCCTAAGCATTGCGTGGTGGTTTGTGGGGCTCAACTTGGAATCTCTTGGCTAAGGGATCAAAACCCATCAGAGAACATGCTCACCATTTCAACTGTGGGGGCATTATAATGTAATAATCAATTACACTATTCAATGGTACAAAGTAGCCCAAGGGTTGGAAGGGGGTGTATTGACAAACAATGTTCCCTCTAGTCTGTCATTTTAAAATCAAGGATGGCTAACACAGATAGTTTTTGAGCAGATTTGTTTAGGTCAGTCCTCTTTTCAGGCATTCAATTGACATTTAAGAGACATTCAAATTACTGTAGTGACACTGGAGACAACCTTAGACTGCAGATGTAAATCTTTTACACTGCTGTTAGTGGAAAATGGTTTGAACCATCTTCAAAGATTTCTTGAATGTTAAATCTTATTTGGTTTCTGTCATCATTTATGCCACAAAATAGCCTGACTCTCAGCATTTGCACTAGTTTTCTCAACTCTACCATGTAATCTGCACCAATTTGATCATCTTTTTTATTTTAGGTTGAAATGCACTTTCAACAAGCTCACCAGCTCCTCGATTGTCTTGTCCTCAGGCTTCTGAGGACCTAGCAAATATCTCATTAAACTATAGGTTAGAGCATCCACTCCAATTAGTAAAATAGCATTTTTCTTACCACTGGAATTAAAAAAAAAGAGAGAAAGTGAGAGAATTCCATAATATTCTACCCATGTTTGTGTTTTGACATTAAAAGAAGTAACTGTTCCTACCTTACCTGCCATTTCTATTTTCTCTGGATGACCCCTGTCAGTAGTAGTATTTTAAGCTTCAGTTGACTTTTTTTGTTTGTTATTGTCTAATTCAACTTGGTTGGTCTGCCTTGAATGTAAAGCATGCCAGCTTAAGTTTTATGTATCCTTGGTGCCATATGTCATATCATGTCTAATTAACCCAGACAGTTATTATTTTATAAGAATGAATTTTTATTATCAACACACACAATTCAGCACAAGGCAACTACTTCCTCATTCTTTCACTCAACAATAACTCCACAGAGATTATCCCCTTATACTATGTACTGCTACCTATTGGTAATTTCTGTAAAGTATTAGGTCATCAAGAAATTTATGTCACTTTTTTTAGATGAAGAAACCCGAACAATATTAAATGAAATAATCTCCATTCTTATCAATGATGCTTTTCCATCTTACAATCAGATTGTTAATGCCCTGATTAAAGAAATCACTAGGCTTTGAAGCAAAAAACATGTCGAGGTCCTCTTTAACACCTTCCGTATTTACATACATTTTTCAATTAAGATGGTATTGCAGCAAACAGAAAAGATGGTAATCTGATGGTGCCATATCTGGAGAATACGGTGGGTGGGGGAGAACTTCCCAACCTAACTCCATAATCTTG